GCCTTATAATCTAATATATCTCTGACATTACCCAGAATATAAATATTTTTAACCATCTTTTTTCTAACATGTTCAATATGAGATTTCCATTTTAATTTATCATCCAATACGACCCCCAAAAACGGAGTTCAGTAACTCTCTCAATCAGAACTCTATCAATGGACAGAATTACTTCATCCTCTTTTACCCGATTTCCAAAAATCATAAATTTCGTTTTTGTCAAGTTCAAAGATAATTTGTTTACATCAAACCATTTTTTTAGTTTTTCCATTTCAGAAACCATTAATTCAGCCAATTCTTTCAATTTATCCCCAGCACAATAAAAAGTTGTATCATCTGCAAACAAAACGAAATTTATCACTACACTCATCAAACATAATGTAATATTATAAAGCTAGGCAAAGGGAACCTGAGCAAATGCAAAATGCAGTTTCTAAATGAGGATTTCATTTATTAAGGGGAAAAGCTCTGCACTCTGATTTTCATACTAACAGCACTGACCACGAGGACAACCAAACCACCCTAACACCGACAGATCCAGCTGATGGTTTACCTGCAAACTCTCACAGAAGCTGAACAGATGCATCATAAAGACGAGCTTTGTTTGTCTTTGTGATTTCTTACTTGCAAAGAATCACAACAGCAGATGTGGCACAGATTTCTTCCTCTGATATAATCCCTGACACAACCCTCTCCCCAGGATTTGTGTCTCCACCTGGTTTTGATCTCGGGACCTTTTGCATATTAGGTGATCGTGTGAATCACGACCACCTAAATTAAATGACACTGTGTTTAGTTACGAGTTGCGTAAGCTTTCATGACATCTGTCATATATGAAGAGAGGCCGACAAAGACACCACATCAGATATTTCACTCACTGCTGCATGTGTTACACATTTTTGTCTTTTTCTTTTCAGATTATTTAATTTTCCATATAATGACACGCCCATCATCAGTTCAATTCAGTTAGAGGAGCTGTGTGTAGACCTCGAAGCCAAAACATCAACATCTGGGCATCGATGATAAAATCGTCTCTGTATGATTGAAGTACGTGCAGTTTGTCTGCAGCTGCACGAACACATGAAGTAAAAGTTCAGTGTGCTCGGTCGAGTTTGGAGCTGTGAAACTCACTTCAGTAATTTAACCAGAGAATACCAGAAGCAGCAGATGATACAGTGCAAACATGCACACCTCTCCCACAGTGACTGCCTTATTCCTCAAGGTCACTCACACTCAGTGTTGGGAAGGTTACTTTTAAAATGTATTCCATTACAGATTACAGATTACATGCCCCAAAATGTATTCTGTAACGTATTCCGTTACGTTACTAAATGAGAGTAACGTATTCTGAATACTTTGGATTACTTAATATATTATCATGCTGTTTACAACTACATGAATGTACTATTGCTGTGATTTATTA